CCATCTCCCTGTTCTCCTTTGGGCAGAGTGGGTGGAGCAGGCCCAGGAATGGCCAGTGACCTAAATGAAAGCCTTTAAGAGCCCTTCACTGTCGCTGTCTAGAGCTAATTTGCTTAACGGCAGACCTGACCGACTGGTCACTGACTCCCTCTTGGAGCCTGCAGGTCATGGACGCAGGAAAAAGAATCTGAAAATGAAGAAGCTTTTCCCATCAGGAGGCTGCGTGTGATGACAGAAGGGCCAGGGTCACTGGTAGAGTTCAGTAGGGATGCCAAAGAAGTAAGTCCCAACCTTCTTTGGTTTGGTGTTGTCCTCAGAGAATCACCACAGGCTTGAGGGGGAGGCTCTACTATTGAGGGGCATGGCAAAATTAAAGACCAAGGCCTACATGGATTCCTAGCTTGGTAATTGGTGTCTGAACTCTGAAAGAGGCACAGGGAAGTATATGCCACTCATGGTCTAGGATGCTGATAATATGCTCCTATGGAGTATAAGAGGCCCCTGGGCTGGCACTACCCCTACTCAGGCTGAGCAAAGCAAACAGCAGATCTGTGTGGAGGACAGGATTGATTTTGATGAGCAAATGAAGTCTTAGAAGCCCACATTATTAGGTCTTGGGTGAGGCTTCAATGTGGAAGCACAACATTCTCAGAGCTGCTGTGTCCTCCCTGTTCAGACCACAGCCTGCATGCCCATGGACTTCCAAGACTGCAGTGACAGGACTTCATGGAATAAGGCCAAGGGGACCTTGACCAGATCCAGCCAAACAGAGGAGGCTGAGCAGTACTCCCAAACCATCCAGGTGTCCCTTTGCCGAGGTGCCAAGAGGGCGGGCAATCCCAGCACATACTCCCACTGTCCTGGCCTATGTGCCAACCCCAAATACTGGGGGGCCCACCCTGAGAGTCCTCCCAAGAAGAAATGCAGTACAGTCAGCCTCACACAAAAACCTGAAACCAAAGACCCTCCTGTCACTCCCATGCAGAAACTCATCTCCCTGGTGAGGGAATGGGACATGGCCAATAGCAAACAGTGGGAATTCCAGCCAGTGCCAGTTCCCCGGAGCAGCTTCATGGAAGAAGCTACTCTGCAGCTCCCTTCGGGAAGTGAGGCTGCTTCCCAGCCCAGCACCTCAGCTTCCTGGAAAAGCCATTCCACAGGCTCCGAGAAGCACCTGGATCTGCAGGCAGGGGCTGGAGCTGGAGCCAAAGACAAGGGGCCAGAGCCAACCTTTAAGCCATATTTCCCTGTGAAAAAAGCCGTCACCCTGAAGGACTGGGGCAAGCAGAAGCCAAGGGAGAAAGGTGAGTCCTCTCCTATCCTTGATAAAACTGAGAGGGCAGGGACACCTAGGTGGCTCCATCAGTTAAGCATCCAACTTCGACTTAGGTCATGATCTCATGGTTCATGAGTATGAACAGAGAGCCTGCTTCAGATCCTCTGTCCCCTTCTCTCTGCCCCTCCCCTGCCTATGTGCAAATGCTCTCTCTCTCAGAAATAAACATTAAAAAAAAAAAAAAAAAACAGAGAGGGGCGCCTGGGTGGCTCAGCCGGTTGAGCCTCTGACTTCAGCTCAGGTCACGATTTCACTGTTGTGGGTTTGAGCCCCGTGTTGGGCTCTGTTCTGACAGCTCAGAGCCTGGGGCCTCCTTCAGATTCTGTGTCTCCCTCTCTCTCTCTGCCCCTTCCCTGCTCATGCTCTGTCTCTTTCTCTCAAAAATTAAAATGTTTTAAAAAAATTTTTTAAAAAAAAGAGGGCAAAACTTGGTCAAGGCCACAGAATGAATTAGTGACGAAGTGGGGCTGGAACCCTCTGTTCACAGCTCTGCTAAGCAGTATAGAGATGACCAGCACACTGGCATGGCTTGTGAGCTAAGAGTCTGCATGAAGCACATAGGAAGAGGGTATCTATGAAATAATAGGAGCACAAAGGAGGCTATGGGCTGAGAAGTGAGCAGGGGAAGGAAGAAGTCTCAGGTGCTTGGGGAAAACAGGTCCTTGGTCTAGTCGGAGGCCAGGCTTCATGTGTGAAAGTGATGAGAAATAGAGCTGAACACATAATTCATCAGGACAGGTCTTGTGAGCCAAGTTCAGGACCTGGTACATTGTTCTGATCCTAAGGGGTGTAGGCAGCCACTGAATCATTTTAAACAACAGCAAGAAGTCAGGTGTGCATTCAGAAGGTTGCTCCAGGAATAGAGGAAATACAGCAGCAGAAGCAGAAATATTAGAAGAATAAGGCCATTCTAAGTCAAACAGGCTAGGCAATTGGGGGAGGAAGTGGGGAAGGATCTGGCCAAAGAGGGGCCAGGTTTCTGGCTTGTGTGACTGCGGGGGAGTGGGTGATTCCTGGGGTGGGATGGACAGGAGAAGGAGCCACAGAGGGAGGTGTATTGTGTGTGATGGGACAGTGTGGAGACAACCCAGAGGGGTTTGCTGAGACCTGTCATACTGGGCTGTTTCCTCTGCTCCCTCAAATTCTTTCTACAGTATTCTGTTGATTTCCCTTTCAAAGGTTTAGGCCCTGCTTGGAGGGGCCTCCTTGGGCCCTGCCTGTGAGTCCTGAGTTGGCCTGTCAAACATACTCTTCAGAGTAGACATGCATCAAAAGCTCACCCAAAAAACTCCTCTCATTTTACAGTTTTCCATGATATCTAGTCCCCCAGCTAAGGTATTATCAGCTCTAGTTGACACCAGCCTTAGTTCAAGAGGAATTTGGAAAGTTCCTTGGAGTTCTGAAACATAGGATTGCACTTACAATGCTTCTAGGATAATGGAGAGAGGAGAGCCAGGACAGGTACCTGTCAGCAGAGGGTGTCACTGCTGAGAAGCTGCAGCCAGAAGGTTGGGGTGACTCACTGTGCTGGTCCCGTCCCTGCTTGGGCTCTGAATTGGTTTAAACAGAACTCCCACCCCATGTCATTTTTCACAGAAATTCCTGGCCCTGAGCAGCCTTTGCCTGAGGCCAGTGAGGTGGACAGCGCAGGGGTCATCCTCAAAGTGACCCACCCCCCTGTGGTGGGCAGTGATGGCTCCTGCATGTTCTTTGAGGACAGCATCGTCTACACCACACAGATGGACAACCTCAGGCATACGCCGCCTACAGCCAGCCCCCAGCCCAGAGGTGAGACTCTGGAGCCATACCTGGCCCTGCACTTCCCTGTGGAGATGCCTGAGCCCCCAGTCAGGGTGCTTCAGAAAAACAGTTTTCCCTCAGGAGCCCTACACCTCTCTCCTTACTCCAGGTTGGCTCTAAGGCCTTAGCCACAACAGTTGTGTCCATATCCACTCTTTCCTCCACAGAAGTGACTTTCCTCAGTTTCTCTCTATCCTGGGAAGAGATGTTTTATGCACAAAAATGTCACCGTTTCCTGACTGACATCATCCTGGATTCCATCAGGCAAAAGGACCCCAAAGCCATGACAGCTAAGGTGGTCTCCCTGACCAACCGGCTATGGGTATGTGTGACAGGCCCAGACCTTGCTCTTTCTCTGTCCGTCCCCTTGTCCCCATAAGTGGTGCCAGGCAACTGGAAGCATGCCAATGGGAATAGGTCAGGGACACAAGGGTGGCAAGAAGAGCAGGGATAGGAAGACAGGTTCAGTGTCATCTGGACCAAGACTTCACTGAGAGGTAGCTTGGGATAATCGTGGCCTCCGATCCCTGCAGCTCCTGCAGACTCAGGGAAGCCCCTGGTCTGCATCCCACTCTGAAAGGCAGGAAATAAATGTGTGTCAGGCAGCGGCTTCCAGCCCTGCCTGACCAGGGGCTCTCCTGACAGACCCTGCACATCAGCCCCAAGCAGTTTGTGGTGGATTTGCTGACCATCACCGGCTTCAAGGATGACCGGCACACCCAGGAACGCCTGTACAGCTGGGTGGAGGTGAGGGCCACTTGTACCCCACTGGGAAAGATGACCCTGTGGACACCTCAAATGGACACTGTCTTGCTTCTGGGCCAGCACTGCCCAGAAGGCAAGGCAGGCAGCTAGACCTCTGGTCCCTGGTCCCAAGGAGGGAAAAACAATGGCTGAAATTAGTCCAGAGTGATCAAAAAGCAGTATTCGGGCCACTGGTTTTTTTTAAGTTTTCCTCCAATGGTACCAATTTTGCCTTTATCACTAACATCCCAGCCGTGCTTGGGAAGCACATCACATGAGCTCAAGCTTTTGGGGTGTTGAAATCTGAGAAACTATTTAGAGTCAGACCTTTCTGACCACTAATACCAACTTCACCTACTTAGCCATATCACCACTTTCACACATTCCTTTCATATATAAACTGCTTTAAAGCATTCTTCACCAGAAAAAAAAAAAAAAAGGTTCAATGAGGTCGAAGGAATAATCGAGGTTTTTTTATTTTTGTTTTTTGATTCCTTAAAATAACTTTAGGGTTTGAAGTTTTCATTTTAATATTGTAGCTGATGAAGACTTAGTTAATTTCTCATTAATCTGGTATTTTTTGTAATCAAGTACATTATTATAATACTTTTCACCCTAAAACCCTAGTTCCCAGTTACTATTAGGTCTCTGGCCAGTCTATTGATTAGAAAAGTAATGTCAGCATTTGCAGCTAGAAAAGTGGAAAACCAGTGGCCGGAAATGTACATTTTTGACCCTCTGGTCATTCTGGTAGCCATTCATAGCCACAAGCTTGTGAGATGCCTCTGGGCAGAACTGAGCCCAAAGAATCAAAGGTCCCCAAAAATAGACCTTGCCCTACCCCTGCCCCTGCCCAGATGGGGAGGACCCCGCCCACTCAGCTACAGTAGGCAACCAGCCAGGAAGTAAGGGATAAGATGGGCCTTTCCTTCTAGCTCACACTGCCTTTCGCCAGGAAATATGGCCGCTGCGTGGACCTGCTCATCCAGAGGGGCCTGTCTAGGTCTGTCTCTTACTCTATCCTGGGCAAGTACTTACAAGAGAGCTAGGGTGACCAGAGATGCTGCCCTCACAATACCCCCATCTGCCAAGGCTCATTTAAAGAATGCATATGCACATATGAAAGTATGTCAGTCTATTTTTATTATAAATAAAGAGTAATGAGTCAAGGGCCTGGACTCTCTCTCTGAGACACCAAAGACCAACAAGTGAAATAATTTTAGAGAACAGCTCTAATTGAAAGCTCTTCAAAAGGTGTTGAAAAAATATAACCAAAGTGACCCAGGAAAGAAGGGCTGGGTTTGGGCAACCAAGGCAGTCAAGAGTTAAGGCTACAATAGAGGTGGGCTTGCCCCTACGCTTGAGAAGCTTGGCTTTGAGACCAGGGATTGGGAAGCAACTGCTGGGAAACCACCTAGGTTCCTCTGAGGGGTGAGGCAGTCCAGTCACTGTCCAGTCACTGCTCTACTTGGTACCCCACCCGCCTAGAGCATGGAAACCCATACCTTCTGCTCTAGCCTAATCCTAACGTGTAACAGGTAAAAGCCAGAGAGGGAATAAAAGGGGACATGGGGCCAGAGGCTCAGGATCAGGGCACTCATTCAGGCCTTGCAGCCAGGCTCCCTAAGCGAGGTCCCTGCCAGTCTGCCAATGGGCACAGACATCAGAAAGGAGTAGTCAATAGCGCAGTGCATGTGAGCTGGAGGTGGCCCAGGTACCAGCCACATTTGGGTCATAGCAGATCCTGAGAGAGGTGATATTTCTTGGACCTCCAGGTGCTGGGTCCACTGCCTGCCTTCCAGCCCAGGCTCAGACCTGTAGTTGACAAGCTAGGTATGACTGTCATTTTCCTCAACTGAAGGTCCAGGTGGATGGCCCACCTGGGGTATGGCCCTATCCCACACACCCCCATTTCCTCCTAAAGGAAAGGCAGGCATAGGCCTGGGCTGGGGAAAGAGGACAAAATGATACTTACATAGGAAAAGTCCTCAAGACCCCTGCCCAGGGCCTGCCCTGACATATAGCTGCTGTCAGAGCCACTGGATCCACTGGCTGATGGGCACTGGGATGAGACCTCTGAGTCGTCAGGAGCTGGGGAGGAGGAAGGTAAGCTGTTGGCAGGGAAGGGCCAGACCCTAAGCAATGCCCTCTTGCCTCTGGTTAAGCCCAGACCTACTCAAAGACAGCTGGCTGCCCAGCTCCACTTCAGCTTCCAGCGCTGCTTCCTCTGGGAAGCTGGGAGAATACAGGGGCCAGCGGAGTCCCAGAAGCGCCGGGTCTCTGTACAGATGTAGGTTGAGGGATCCCAATATGGAGCAAGAGGCAGGGTCTCCAGGAAGGGAGCTCGAGGCTCCCAGATAGGGGCTCTCATAGTCAAACGGTGCTACAGCAATAGAGGCCCGAGAGCGAACTTCTGTGTAAGAGAGAGGGTCAGACTGGGACAGGGCAGAACCCACCTGGGCCAAGGTCCTGAAGGGAGCACAGGCAAGAGCTGACAGGAGTCCATGTTACCTCCCATTCAGCCTTCCTCACCCGCTCCCCCCTGTAGCCTGCCTGCTACCTCGGCACTTCAGGACATAGTTGACAGTGCGGTCGTTGATAGCTTCCTCGCTGGGGGCGATGTCCTGAAAGGCCTTGTTCCCCACACCCATGGACATCATCTCAGCCATGCGCACCTCTGGGGGGAGAGGGAGTATAGGTAGGGCCTCTCTGGACATCAGCCTTGTCCTCGGGCCTCTGTCTACCACCCCCTTGAGTAAGTCCTTCTTGTACATCCATGCCCAGCACATTAGCCATCCTATGCACTGAGCCTTTCTGGTGCCATGCTCTCCTCCCCACAATCCTGGGGGCACGGTTAACCAGGTTAACACTGTCCATAGTCAGGGATAGTGACAACAGGACTGCCTGACTTTGAACTTCCTTTCCTTACACTCTGGCTGCTGCTATTGGACCTCCCTGCTCCCAAACATTTCCAGGTTCCTAGGCCCTGTCTGGGGCCCTGTGGGACATAAGCTCTCCAGGGAGGGGACCATTGGATAAAGTAGGGGCAGGGACCCACCCTTGTTGTGGATAGCCTGCCTCCAGAGCAGACGAGAAATGTCAGCTGTCCAAGTCTGCTTGGTGTCCAAGCTGGCAGCCTGCAGCACAAAGGTGTCCTTGGCCTTGCGACGGCGGAACCAGATCTCAAAGCGCAGGTTGTTATCCCCACAGCACTCAGTGAGGCCTAGGTCTGCCATCTGTGTGGCCAGGAGAGGGGCTTGGTGAGGTCAGAGGGGGTGAGGGTGAGGCAGGGACCATAGGAGGGGTGCAGTGGGCCTACCTTGAAGGAACGCTTGTAGGTATATGTGTCAATGCCCGTGGGTCCTCGGCGAGGCTTGCTGAAGAGCAGTAGCTCCTCAAAGAGGAAAACACGGCGCAAGGACTTACGGCGCCCAGTGCGTACCATGAACTCATCCTGTCGCACCAGCTGACCCTGTTCCTTGAGGTTAACCTGCCAAGCTGGGGCCCAGTGAGTGCCCAGCCTTTCCTGCCCTCCTCCCTTCACACCCACTGCACCTGCCCACCACGACCTGGCATGACTCACATCACAGCCCTGGATGGCGTCCATGGCTAGCAGGTCGTTGCCATGTCGCAGCTGGAAGCGCACAAGGCTCTGGGCGGCCCGCAGGGCACTCAGCTCCTGCACGGCACCCCCGCAGGCCCTGGCCAGTTCCTGCAGCATCAACGCATACTTGCTCATGCGCTGGATGGGCTTCAGGAGGTAGGAGGCCAAGTCCAGGTGGTCCCCCAGTGCTTGCTGCTTATCCTGCCAGGTGGGTGGGAGACCATCAGGTGGCTTCAGGGTACTTCCTCCATCCCCTCCTCCCCTAAACTCAGGCTCATCTACCTTGAAGAAGGCATGACCAAAGCTGGTCATCAGAGCATCAGAGCGAGGTTTATTCTTGCTGTAGAGTGCATACATCCCAAACTGCAACCGCTGTGAGGAGACACAGATCAACCCAGGTTCAAGGGGGCCAGGTACCCTCACCCTGAGAGGACCAAAATGCTAACCAACAGTTCCCAGGGAACTGCGGATCCCTGTCTCCCTGGCTTTGAATGAGGCAACCTGGAAAGAACAGGCACTGTGCAGAATGGGGCTTGCCCACGGGGCCTCTGCTCCTCTCACTGCTCTTGAACACCACTCTGGGCTTCCTCACCTTAGACAACTCCTTCTCTTGTTCACTACACTCAGCCGCTTTGACCTGTCTCTTCTTTGACCACTGAGCCTCTTCCCTGCCCCAAAGCTTTACACTTAATCTTTCCTCTGGATGGAACACTCTGAGTCCAGCCCTTCCCCTGTCCTGCCCCTCAAAGAGGCCTCTAACTGCACCACCCCCTGGCCCCACTGCTAAATCACGATCATGTATGTATCCTGATTATTTTGTTCCTGACCCAAACTATAATCTAGAATTACCTTTTTTTACTTTTATGTCTCCTTTTCTACTAAACGTGACTACCTAGAGGGGCAGGGACCTTGCTGGTCTTGCTCACAGCTATACCCAGCACAGAGCCTGGCACCAAGCATCTACCCAAGAGCTCCTTATCAAGTGTGGCAGAATCAGGTAGGGGCCATGTGGCCTGTGGGCTTACATGGCGCAGGAATGCATAGGCAACCCGGGGTGGGTGCTGGGTACAGGCCTCCAGTTCACGCAGGAAGAAATGAAAATGGAAGTCCCGCAGCTTCTCCAGGTTGCCAAAGAGGTGGGCACGCTGGCCACGGAGGCCCTGGGGCACATCAGGGCGGTCCAGCTCAGGGAAGTAGTTCTCCATGGTGTAGTCAAGAGCACGGACATACTCCCGCTCTGTAGCCACCATCTCTGCCAACACCAGCTGGAGCCTACCAGACAGGTGGAGTCAGGATTCAAGACGTCTCTCCTGCCACTGCCCTCCCTGCCCTGCACACTGCCTGTACCTGTTGGGGCTCCTGGGGTTAGAGCTGCCTGGTGGAGGCATGGTAGGGGATGACCCTGGCTGGGCACCACCTCCAGCCTCTGGTCCGTGGGAAGCAGCCACAATGGCCGCACGGTGGCAGTGGTGAGTAAGCTCTCGGAGACTCTGCCCCAGATTCTGATCAAGGCTATATGCCTTCCTCAGGGGAGGGGTGGCAGATGCACCAGGGACATGGCTGACACACAGACTAGCTGTGCTGCCCGTCGTGGTCGTCGTCAGTGGTGGCTTCAGTGCAGCCTCTAGTTTCTGGTCCAGGGCCAGCCAGGTGTCCTGGCAGCGTGCCCAGGCCCAGCGGCATTCCTGGCGGATGCCCTCGGAGCCCAACCCTGTGGCCAGAGCCCACATCTTTCGGAAGTGGGCAGGAGGCAAGTCAGGGTGCTTGGTCCAATGCAGCTGCAGCCGTTGTAGCACGACCCCTGGGCACTCCTGCTCCAGCTGTGCCAACACCCGCTGCCCCTCCTCAGCCCATGTCGAGGCCTGTAACACCAAGGCCAGAGAGCCACTGAAGGTGGACCCACCAAGACCATTGGGCCTTCTCCTCCACCCACTCTCCCGGCCCCACAGGATGATGGCTCAGGCCATACCCCCATTGGTTGAATTTTGGGGTCAGACCAAAGACAAGGAGAGAGGAGGCAAGATGTCCTGAAAGAGCTCAGGCTGCGGTAAGGCTAAGAAGCCACTCCTCCATCCCCACTGACCACCAGGAACAGGACACCTCACCCACCTGCTTGAAAAAATGCAACAGCCTCTCAGCATCTGCCAGCCGCTGCCGCCGCTTGGCCAAAGCCCTAGAGAAGTCGCTCAGCTGGGCTTGCAGGGCCAGAAAGCGGGCCCCAACAGGGCCCAGTTCAGCAGCCTCCCAGCCAGCCAGTGGCTGCAGAAATTTCTCCCCTCGCCTGACCTGCTCCTAGAGAAAGAGACTGGGATTAGCAGACCTACGCCATGAACAGTCTTTTCCACAGACATCTACACGTCATTATCAAGTCTCTCTTGTGACTGAAGACCTTCCCCCCACACCACACACCCCACCCACTCTCCTCTGTCTCTGTGCCTCTCTACACACCCAAACTTCCTAGAGGAATCGTTCGCCTCGGTATCAGGTATCATTGCTTCTTCACCTCATCAGCCTAGTGCAACCTCACTGCCACCTCCATCCCCAGCAATTCTTAGGCCTCATCTGACCATTGCTCAGCAGCCTCTAATCCTCTTTTTCAGTTCCCCAACCCCTCCCCACTCACCCTAGTCTCCTCCTGTCCCCCATCCCTCATCTGAGCCATTCAACAGTGGCTGTCCTGAACACAGTCCACACTCTCTCCCCTCAGGCAATCCTATGTGACCGTCAAATGTCACCCACACACCCGCATCTACCAAGTGACCCTCTACGCCTAGGTCTCTCTTCTGAGTTCCAGGCCAATCCCCATGGGTCTCAGACCCTCATGGTCATCTCCAAAGCACACCCAAGACTGGATTGATGAATCCCCTTGCCTCAGAAGGCCCTTGTCTCCTGGTCCTTCTCTCAGGAGGGAACTCTACTCACCCCTGCAACCTTCCCCTCCTTTTTTTAAAAAAAAAAATTTTTATTTGAGAAAGAGATAGCACACATGTGCAAGCATGGAAGGGAGGTGAAAGGAGAGAGAGAGAATCCCCAGCAGGCTCCACGCAATGCGGGGCTCAATCCCACAACCCTGGGATCATGACCTGAGCCAAAATCAAGAGTCATTCAACCAACTGTGTCATCCAGGCGCCTCTTCCTTCCTTACCCCATGTATCAAATCCCAGAAATTTCTAAAATCAGTCTCCTCTGCCACCATCTGACTAGAGAAAGCATCATTCCCACTAGGCCACTACAATTGCCTCTGTGGACTCTATATGTCCATCCTTCAAATCACTAAACAGAAACTATGAATCATCTTCTAGAATGTGGATCTGATTATGTGACTTTTCCACTTAAATTTTATACAGCTACAGGATCCAGCAATCTAGCCACTGACTACTTTTCCAGCTTCATTTTACCTCACTCTCCCTCCCTTTACTGCACTGCATTTCAACCTCACTGTCCTTCTTATGGTTCCTCAGGCAAGCCATGCTCCTTTCTGCCACAGAACCTTTGAACATGTTCTTTGTTCCCTCAGCTGGGAATGTCTCTTAACCCCAACCCCTCTTTCTCCTGGTTAACCTATCCTTCAGCTCTCATCTCAAAAATCAGGATCTCAAGAAAGCCAGACCAATACCCCTTCTGGGTCAAGTATTTTTTTTTTTTTTTTAAATTTTTTTAATGTTTTTTTTATTTATTTCTAGGAGAGAGAGAGACAGCATGAGCAGGAGAGGGTCAGAGAGAGAGGGAGTCACAGACTGAAACAGGCTCCAGGCTCTGAGCTGGCAGTCAGCACAGAGCCCGACGCAGGGCTCGAACCCACGAACCGCGAGATCATGACCTAAGCGAAAGTCGGACGCTTAACCGACTAAGCCACCCAGGCGCCCTTGGGTCAAGTATTTTTTAATAAACTCAGGTAGAACCACCTGCGCTATTTCTTTCCAGAGCTTTTGCCTCCATTTGCAAACACACATATGTGGCTTTCAACCTTTGATTACAATTGCTCTCTGCTGGACTATAAATTCAAGGAAAGAAATGGATTTCCTTTCACCCATGCTGCATTCTTAGTCTCTGGCAAAGTGATCCAATACCTAGGAAATAAACAAGTAACCGAACTCACCTGGGCAACCTGGTCCAGCTCCTGAAAAGGACCTTGGGCCTGGAGCAGCATGTCCAGGGAGGGCTCCCTTAGCCCCTCAAGTGCTGGCCAGCCCACCTGCTGTAGCCATACTTCAATCTGGAGGGGCACAAGCAGGGAAAGAAATGCTGCTGTGGGGTGGACGTCATGCTTGAGATCAGAGGCAGGGCCCATCTGGGCAGATAGTTCCCACCTGGTGCAGCCCACCCTCCTGGGCCTCCAGAGTCTGGACCAACTCTAGTGCCTGCACTCGCTGGTTACTCTGCAGGGTCAGCTGGTGCAGCAGTCCATCTACACGGCCATAGAGCTCATCAACTTCATCCACTGCTGGCCTGGTACAAGGTACATGGTTGTAGGGCTCTTGTTAGATGCCTTGCTCCACTCCACCCTGTCCTGGGACCACAATCCTGGCTGGTTCTGAGCAGCCAGCTAAGTTCTTGGCATGGAATATGGTGGGCTGGGGCAAGATCTGGGATCTGAGTTTGCATCTACCTGTAGTCTGGGCTCAGGGTCACCTCTGGGACCTCTTGCTTCAGCCATGCCAGCTCCAAACTCCCCTGGCACTGTAGCCATGCTAGCCGGGGTGAGTCTAGCACGTGCTGCATCAGGACCCGTGCCTGCTGTAGCAGCCGACTAACTTCCTGTGATTAAGGGCAACAGGCAGTGGAAATGAGCATTGGAGAAAAGGAGGAAGACAGGGAGCATTTGGAGAGATGTTGTGGGGACACTCACCCCAGACTCCATGGGCTGGGGCACAGCCTTCATGCTCTCAATGGCCCCGTGGAGCAGGGTACAAACCACCTGGCAGCTTTGCAGTAGGGCTTCCAGACGCTGTGAGCAAGGACAAGCACGACCAGAGTAGTGCAGTGCTGGTCCCAAGCATCCTGGATCCCAGGCCACTGCAGCCAGCTTTGCACTGCTCAAGCCAACCCAGGAAAGGCTCCTCTGCTGGCCAGGTTGCCTGCTGCCCCCCATGTCCCCACCCACTGCACTGACCATTCGGAAGTCCAGCCAGGTCTGGTGGCAGTAAGGCAGGCCTCCTCCCATTGAAGCTGGCAACCCAGAAGTGGAGATGTGGGTCAGCAGGCTCTGATGAGAGGGCAGCTGCTTCAGCTGGAAGAAAAGAAGGTGTAGTGGCTCCTGCCTGGTGGGGAAGCATCCCACCTCCCCCGCTGGCCAAAATGGCTCAGTACCTGCAGCCTGGAAGGTACCTCCTCTGGCATCTTTCCCACTAGCAGCACCTGGTACACTGATCCTGGGGCTGCTTCCTGCAAGGAATTTGAGTGCAACCATGTCCCCAACCCTATTTAAAAGGAATGGCTGAAGTCAGGAGAAGATACAATCCTGTACTCACTTGTAGTTGGCTGAGCCCCCAGAAAAGAGAAGAACTTGGGGGACGAACTCGGGCATCCACCAGCACGGTCAATCCCAGGGCCTGTACTTCGGGCCTAAAGAGACAGGCTTCAGTTCAGTATCAAATCCCCCAACCTTACCATGTCCTGGCTCCAACTCCACCACCCCCCCCCCCCGCCCCCAACCTCCTCTCTGTAACCTAGGGATGCTTCGCAGATAGAGCAGAAGGCGGATGAGTTCATGGCTACCGCACGTGGGGAAAAACCAGGCTGGGCTATGGGCACACAGAAGCAGCACTGCCCGGCCTTCTACATCCCGAGTCCCTGTGGGGAAAAGACAATGAACACCTGTCCTATCAAGTCACCCCACTTCCACCACTTCTAGTCTCTCCGACGTAGTTACCTGGTAAGGTAGCCATGCCACTGGCCAGCAGCTCCCAGGAAAGGTCTTGGGCCAGGAGGTAATTAGCAGGCTTAGGGAGGCGAGATCCACTGGGGTCTTGGGAAGAAAAATGGCTTGGGTGTGCATTGGGCACTCACTCAGAGACCCCTCCTCAGACCTGGGCTTCATTCAGCCTGAGTAGGGTCAGAGCCCTCCCCAAGTCTTGGTACCCACCTTTAGGAACCCCCACTTGACCTCCTTGGCCCAGCCTCCCTTACCTGGCTCCAGTAGCTCTGACGATGTCTCAGATAGAGGCCCTTCAAGGTCCACAGGATCACTGTCCAACCTCTCAGGACCCAAACCAGCTGGCATTAACCTGCCTGGAACTTGGTCCCTTGCCAAACCTTCCCCCTGACTATCACTCTCGCCCTGTGCAAGGCTGAGGTGGGAGGACACTGGACATAGGAGGCTCTCCGCTCTAGAGGGGATGGGTTTCTCTAACTGGGCTGAGGAACCTCCTAGTGTATTCCCCTGCCCATCTACAGCCATTGGTCCTAGGGGTGACTGAAGCTCCCTAGGCAGGGAGCTGTCCTGCAGCCCTTCTCCTTGGGCTGTCCCTGCTGGTGATCTTGGAGGATTGGGGTCCTTAACCTGCACGTGGGGAACAGGCTCCTCCTCATCACAGGCATCCCTGAAGCTGCACACAGCAAACCTCCAGTCAGTAGCATGTCCTTGGGATTCTGGGGACTCATCCCCAACCTCCAAAGGCCCTTCCATCACCCTCTCCTTAAGGGTGGGCCTGCTCAGGGCAAGTGGGAGAGGGACTGGGCCCTCATTGTGAGGCTTCTGCTCATCCAGGAAATGGACTGAAGACAGTCCCGTAGGGCTCGGTGGGTGACCCAGGTAGAAGACACTAGGCCATAGCAGGAGCCAGTGTTGGTTCCCAGGTAGAGGTAGCACAGATGCGGCAGCAGTTCAGGCCTAAAGAGACAAGAGAAGGGCAGGGGTCGCCCCTGAACGTCCGCGCTCACACTGCCCTCAGCCAGAGGGCTCCTACGCTCAGACGCGCACTCACGCGTTGCCGGCCTACGCGTGAGGGCCGCACGTGGCGTGGGCAAGGCGCTGCCTCGTGCTGACGCCCGCCCGGCCCGGCCCCGCCTCGCCGAGACACTCGCGCGCCCCATCCATTCCCCCCTCCAACCCCCCGCAGCCCTCAGACCCCCGGACGCGGAACCGAGAAGCCGCGAAGCCGCGCCCTCGAACCTTCGGCACCGCCATCGACGGCGGGTACAGCGCACCGCCCCGGCGTCCACTAGCGCCGCCTCCTGGCCGCGGGGAGGGAACGCAGGCGGCGGAAGACCCGGCACCGTGCCGCCCCCTGGGGGCCGGAGGACGAATCTACATCCCATCCGCTGCCCGACGGCATCTGCCGGTCTCCTGTGAAAGCTTGGAAACTCGGGCTCTCGCAGTGTCCCAAAGCCGCCACCTCCGCCGCCTCCCACCCTCCGGGCCAGGCGGCTTGGCTCCACCCCCACCTTCAGGGCCCGCTTACTTTGACTAGGCTGCTCTGTCGGCCGGCGGGCGGGGGGAGCAAGGACTACTAGCAGTTCCAAGGTGCCCACGCCCCGGAGTGCTGGAGAGGGAGAGCGCTGGAAGCGGTCCCCCTCGGGCAAAGGTGATGTAGATGCCCGTTGATGCGTGAATGGGTGACTGGGCCGGGGTTGGGGTGGGGGCGTCGAGGGAAGGGGTTTGTGGGAGTGAGGGGATCTGCTCTCGAATGCACGCAGTATGGGGGGAGGGGGGACTGCCCCACTCTGTCAGCAAAACTGGGAGCACTCATAACTCGCAAGGGAAAAAAAAAAGTGTGGGCCCAAGATCCCAGGAGTCTCCCTAGAAAGAGAAACTCCTTAAGGCCAAACCAGCAGGTCGGGGCTGCTAGGAACCAGCAGGGGTATCTTCATGGAGGGTAGGAGGAAAGGGCCCCTCCTTTGCAGTCTTCAGCCTTCTGCCCAGGCCCAGGCCTAGGCACCAAGACACAGGTTTTATGATTCCAAGACCCTATGGGGGACTGCTGTCTGGGCTGGAGGGAGGATGGGGGCAGGGAGACCTCTGGGGTAGGAACTGACCCAGGCCTGCCAGAAACCACTAGGCCCAGATCCTCCACTCTGGTGCCTTCCTGGCACTTTCACCTACACCCCCTCCCCACAAAGTCCAGCCAAGTCAGCTGGGACTGAGGTCAGGGTCCTGGAGCCAGAGACACTAACCCAGACCTGCTATTTCACTTACCTTTTGGGTGAGCTCCAGCAACTCAGTTCTTTTTAACCCTTACTCACCTGTAAAAAAAAGAAAGTCATTCCTCTTTTCCCCCTGGGATTGCCATCAGGACTAGGAAAGACCCCATAAGTCAGATGACCACTCGCTGCCAGCATTTGGGCTATATTCATGCCCTCCCCATCATTTCACCCTCAGTCAGGGCATCCTGAACTGGTGAAAGTTACCTGGAGACTTGACCTGTGAGATCCCTCCCAGCTCTGAGGTACTGAGGTCCCTTTAGGGCATGTGTGCCTGGCCTGACACTCCCCAGAATTTGTAGGAAGATTATAAGAAGGTAGGCTGTGTGGTCAGAAGAACACACTGCTCCATAACATGCTCAGACCCTTGGCTCCTGGGAGGAGAGAGGGGAGTTGGGGGCGGGGGGAGGTGCCATGGCTTCCTTGACTCTAAAGCATGAGCCTGGAGGCTGCAGAGGAGCAAACCAGGGCATCAGAAGCAGGCACAGTGGGAACAGCAACCTGCCCACCCCATCCCAGCTGCCACATCAGCCCCCAAAGTCCAGATTGTCAGACCAGCTACCTAGGAGCCTTCTTCATGAGCTGATTTGGCTGCCAGAGGAGGTTGGAATTGTCCTGCTCCATCCGCAATTCCCAGCTGGGTCCTCTGGTCGCACCCTCCTCTAGCTTTAGTGAACATCAGGATCAACCTTGGCTCCTTCCCCAGCTGTCCTAGGGCCGCCCCATTGAGTCATTGCCTCCTGCTCCCTCCCTTTCCTTCTGTTGCCCACTGTCTGCCCACCCCAGTCACTAGCCAGGCCTCCTAAGAGCTGAGGAGACCTGCTGGCAGGCACACATACCCCTTCAATACCAGAAGCAGGCAAGAGTCCCCAAGCCACAGGCCATAGCTGACCCCAGCACCGCTGGGTACGGGCAAACAGATAGATCCAGAGTCAGGGTCAGCCTTTGGTTGGTTTATTCACTCCACATAAAATGTGCATTGTAGCTACATGAAAACATTGTGTTGTCATTTCTGTACTTCCAGCATTTAACATAGGGCCTGGCATAGAATAAATGCTTAGGGGTGCCAGAGAGTGGTCACGTTACTCCTCCCCTGTGAGGCTCCCTATCCTTGAGCCAAATGTAAACCAGAGTCACAAGTAGATTCAGAGGCTGAATCTGAAAGGGAAACAGAAAAGGCAGAGCTGCAGGATGCACAGTCCTAGGATGATAAAGATGTAGATAGAAAATGGGGACATACTGAGGCCTAGTGGGGAACACTGGGGGCTGGGCCTGGAACAAGCCCAGGCTGCTGACCACAGGAGACCGTATGGGCTGAGCTTGCAGGACTGAGCAGTGACTCATGGGGCCCATCTCTGTGGCTCTGCTGGCAGCAAATTCTACTCACAGCAACTTTTTCCACTGAGATCATAAAATAGGGTTGGACCTCCCTCCCCTGCCCCTTCCCCAGCCTTCCCTCAGCCTCTCTTTCCTTGCCACCATGAATCAATCAAAAACAGGAGAGAGGCTATGGACCTAGTGATAAGAGACCCAAAGTCATTGCCCTCACTCCACCCCTAACTTTGCACATTCTCTTCAGTACTGCCCTAGATAGCAAGGGTGACAATATCCCCAAACCTTCCAGATCTCGCTCACTTTTGGCCTAAATAAACTCCAAACTCCATACTGACATGAAAAACTCATCTGATCACAAATCTTGTCAAAGCCCATGCCCATCTCCCCTGGTCAAAATCCTTCTTTCTTCAAGGCCTGCATGCAACTCAGGGTGCCCTGAAGGCCATGTCTGCCATCTTGTCCAGTCAGGTGGTGAACCATAGACAAGCTCCTGACTTTCTCACTCTCCTACATCCCAAGTGCCTGCCTCTCCCTGGTGTGCTCACCCTCTATCTCTGACTAACCCCATCTTCCTTGCTGTCGCACCATCCTAAGTTACCGAGCATCAAGCCCAGGAGCTCCTCTGCACCCTCTCTCCTACACCTTTAGTAGTGTGATTGTGTGGATTTGACTGCTACTGCGTTTCTAATCTAGAAATTCTCAAAGGATGTGGTCTCTATAGTCTTCCTCGAAGGGAGCTGATTAAGATTATAGATTTCTGGGAGGTACCTGGGTGGCTCAGTCAGTTGAGCATCCGACTCTTGATTTTAGCTCAGGTCATAACCTCACAGTTTATGGGTTTGAACCCTGCATTGGGCTCTGTGCTGATGGTGTGGATCCTGCTTGGGAATCTGTCTCCCTCTCTGTCTGCCCCTCCCCTGCTTCTGCATGCGTGCTCTTTCTCAAAATAAATAAACTTTAAAAAAAAGATTACAGATTTGTGGGTCCCCATTGCCTTGCTTAGGGCAGGCCCAGGAATCTGCATGTTTGACAGATTCTCGGTGATTGTGATTCTGAAGCCTGAGAACGGCTGCCTGCCCTCTCCAGCCTTTTCATGTCCCGAGCCTGCTTGAGCAGATGCAGGCCTCCCATCCCCAGCCTTCCTTTCTACCAGTCCATCCTCCACCTGGCGTTTCATTCATTCCATCTGACACCACTTGCACTTGAGCTCTCTTAAAGCACATCACTGGCCACACCACACCCTAGATCACAGTTCTCCCAGGCCAGCTCTCTACCACCTCCAGAACTCAGCAACATCACCCCTAGAGGCTTTGTGTCTCTGGCTGGTCTCTCCAGAGCACAACCACTGCTCCTGGCTTTTTGCCATGTGTGCTTTGGGGATCCTTTGTTTATACTGCTTTCTACCTGGAATGCACCCACCCAACTTTGCCTGTATTGTCTGAACCCCAGCACACACTCTCACCCACACTAGCTCCTCCCAAAGCCCTTCCAGATCTCTGCAGGGCCCCACAGCACTTTCCTTGCTCCTTGCCTTGCAGTGTAAGAGCTGTAATAGTATGGGGTGCCCAGGTGGCTCAGTTGGTTAAATCAAAATACTTCTTGGGGTACCTGGGTGGCTATTGGTTGATTTCAGCTCAGGTCATGATCTCACAGTTCGTGAGATCGAGCTTCGTGTCGGGCTCTGTGCTGGCAGTATAGAGCCTGCTTGAGATTCTCTCTCTTTCTCTCTCTCTCTCTCTCTGCTCCTCCTGAGCACGTCTCTCTCTCAAAATAAACTTAAAAAAAAAAAAAAAAAAAGACCTGTAATGGCAAACATTTATGATCCCTTACTGTGGGCCATGCTGTATACTAGACTCTTCTATCATTCTTCTATATTATTATTTCATCCTGATAGCAAGCTTATATAGTAACTGTTATTCTTTCTTAGAGATGAGGACACTGAGGCTCACAGAGAGTATGTAACACACCTAAGGTGACATAACTGGTAAGTGACAGTTGGACTGTTTAACTACCAGGCCCTATCACTGCCAAGTATAAACAATGTGAGGGCAAAGCTCAAGTCACTCTTCCTCCCATTTTCCCATTCATAACACAGAAAAAGTAAATGCTTGTTGACTAAATGTGTAACCTTCACAGTATCCAGAGTCCTTCAGATCTATAGAAACAGAAAGTAGGTTAGTAATTACCCAGGGCAGACAGGGGATGAGGAGTGACTGCCAACAGGCACACTGTTTTCTGGGGATAATACAAATGTTCTAAACTTAAGATCATGATG